CCCCTAAATTAGGCCCCGTATTAAAATAGGGACCCAAAAAGGGACCATAATTTTGACAATTCCCCACATGTCAACGAGTAGCAACATAGAACGCCAACATAATGACCCGCAGCACACACCCTTTGCAGAGGTTGCCTGAAACCAATCCCTTCATGAGGCCATCGTTCAGCAAAAGCACGTAGCTTTGAAAGCACCAGGAAGGTTAACATACCTTGCGAAGCGTCCGAAACCCTACAAACCGGCAAGCCCTGGATGAAATCCCTTGCCATAGAAGCTGCGAATTTATGTGGCAGTTTCCCAAAACCTCAAGAAGCAACACTTTCTTCCCTTGAACTCAAATGTACCCCAGGATGCTACGGTGGATGGAGGGAATATTGCACTTGCACGTGGCCATGCCCTAAATTCTGAATTGGAATGACAACATCATGGCGGCCATAACTGGGGCGTGACTTGTTCCCTCCAAAACTCGGAAGATGAACAAAAAATCCTGTACCCAACACGTGGCACACCACTCTCTTGTGTTGAAAGTGACGCCCATGTCGCAGATGAGGCCACAGACCCCACTTTAGATATTGCAAAACCTGCTTCATCAAGCGGCACTTCCAGCGTGTAGTCTTTGATGTGAACCGTTAGGACATTCGGCTCCTGTCTGCTGCAAGACAATTTGCAACACCTCACATGCGAAGAAGAAAAAGCGAAATCAAAGTGCAGACATTTATTTCAGCAAGGCAATACAAAGTAGGCCCCTTAACTCTATACTGGGCCTCAAGTCCCTACTTCGGAAAGCCAATAAGGCCTTGCTGAAGCGCCACACACCCTGACCCGACCACCTGTCCTAGGGTTTAGGGGTTAGGGCTCCAAGTGAGTGCTGCCCCTGCATAGTTCTCACCCCTTCACAGAAGCTCTCAACACAAGCTGCAAAGGCTGCAGAATTCGCCCTCTGAGAAGGCCTCAGATAAGCACAGGGTCCTTGCATGGCAGCTTCCAAAACTCCAAGAATCCCCTGAACATGATCCAGGAGCTCTGAAAGCCATAGCCATCCCCAAACATGGATGTCACGAGCTTCCAACAAGATCATATGAATAAGAACGAAATGGGGAGGGGTCCTGATATAAGGTGTACAGTACACCCATCTTGAGGGTATGCGGTTCTTACACGGTCTCCCTCATACCAGTCTACCCTAATTTCTAAAATAGCAAACCCTAAAACCTAAAGTGTATGTAAGTGTTCCCAGACAAGCGGTATAGAATTCCTTTGAGGCCCTTGATGGCACCTCGAGCCCTCGACCTGAGGCTGAGCACACCTGTAGTCCCCCTTAAGTAGATAGAAAATTAAGGTTACATTGGGATAATGGAAAAGAAAATGGAATCTACTATTTAGGGTTTAGGCCTTATGTCTGTCTGAAAGAGCAGGATCACATTTCAGCACAAGTGCTTCTCCTTCAAATATCTGAAATGCAACTGGTTTCGATGCTGGGTCCTGAGCCCACACCTGCAAGAAGCCACCAAGAACTCGGCGCCTGCCACACCTGAACCCCTAAACACTGAACCCTGAAGTCTAAGCTGCAATCTCTACTCCCTCAACCCCCCTGAGCCTGAAACCGTAATCTACCATAATATACTGTCATATACTATAATATACCACGATATACTATAGTATACCATAATATACCATGATATACCATAGAATACTACCTATAATATACCAGAATATACCATAGAATACCATCAAATACAAGAATGTCTGTGTCCTTCTGCTTGTACATTACCAACCCAGGCTTTGGAAGTTCCGCGCGGCAGCGAAGCACCTGGGCTGAGGACCAAGGTAGAAACAGGAGGGGTTTAAGGTTTTGGGCTGGGGGCTTAGGGTTTAGGGGTTTAGGGCTTAGGGACTTAGAGGTTTAGGATTTGGGGATTAAGATTCACCCCATGTACACTTGATGCTTGCTACCATGAAATCGTTTTGGAGCAGCTGGAATTATAGGGACGATTATACTGCATCGGGATTATGCTCGAGCCACTATTTCTGGAAACATTTACTCAGGAAAGAAATTTGCAGACTCTTCCGGTAACCCGCCAAAAGCCAAACCCATGATCCCAAAACCTTACGCCAAAAACCAAAAACCCATGACTGGATTCAAAGCAAGGAGCCGGGACGATGGAGTCCGCCAAGACAATGTCTACAGCCTCCAGGTTCACCTGAGATGTAATCAACATCGACATGTGCAATGTCTACTGTATACTGGGTTCAGGTAGAGATAGAGATCAAGATGGTTATTCAACAACAGCTCTTGCTGCTGCTATTCTTACAATGCGGACCGTCGTTACAACAAACGGATGCTCTGCTTGGAGCTCCTCGTGGAAGAGAATCTCAAAACTAGCTGGGTCAATCCCCCACCCAGTAATGGGTACCACCACGGACTATTGCATGTACCTTAAGGCCTTATTAACTCGAAGTTAGCAGCTATTACTATAGGGGCGATTGACCTAAAAAACTAGCGGGTTCTTGCAAAGCGAGAATGCTTGCAGGAAGAAGTGCCGCTGTTTTCAAAAGCTAGGGTGGAGCTGTTCCAAATCATGATCCTTCTTGGTCGCGTGTGTAATGTATTCCTCAATTTCGGGGAGGGGGGGGGGTGCCGCACAAAAGCTCATAATTTGAACAACCCTCAGTTACCATTGTCAAAATTCAGGCATGTGATTCATACCACCAAGGTCCCAAGGTGATTTACAAGTTCTTACTGTTGCTGGCCCCAACCTTCACCCCACACAGCCCGCAGGCCCGCCGACCAAAGGGCCTCAATTGTTTCCCAAAGCGAACAAGAGTTCATCGTCCATCATGGGCATACACATTTATCTACAGAGACGTCTCGGAGAGAGGAAAGACTGTGAAAGGACGCAACAGGACCCGAACGAAAGTTGACGCAGTTTAGATAGCATCCATGGAAAGGCCCATGTAATTCCACAACTACCAAGGACTTCAACGCACATGGATGCTGACGCGGGTAGGACCTATAGCCCCTATTAAGAAGATAGAATATGGAACTCCCAAAAACATAATAAGATCCCCATAATCATATATATATATATACCCCATATTCTATCTACTTGAGGGGGACTATACCCTAAACCCTAATCCCTAAATCCTCAACCCTGATTGGCTCCAAAAGACGGAGAGGTTGAAGATGAACTGCTTAGCCTGGACTTGCTCATACTGCTTCGCCGCCCCATCAACCTGGCTTCGGGGTCCTCCTGTTGATGCTAAAGTGTTTAGGGTTTAGGGGGTTTAGGGTTTAGGGGGTAAGTCCTTCCTGACAATTTGTGTCCTACCATAAATCCTAAGGTACAAGGTGCTTGCAGGATATTCGGAATCAACTGTCTGTCTTCGAGGTTAAAGTTTTCAGGGATGTGTCAGTAGTTGGGATCTTTGAGTAGGGGCTACCGCTTCCAGGGTTGTTCCTCCGGTCCAAATTGCCTAAGGGGAAGGTTCCCAGCGCTTTAAACACAGAAGATGGTCGCTTGTGATTTTGCGAAGATTCTCATTTGTCATGTGGGCAGTGGACACTTAAGGTAATGACAAATAGAGTTTCACGAGGTGGTTTTACCTGACTATGGCCCGCTCCTTCAGACAACAACACCAAATCGCAAGCAAGTTTGCGTGCTTGCTGGATGGATTTGAACCATTTACAATTGAAAGTCTGCTGCCCTAATTAAGGGTCCTAGGACCCAAACAATAGGGATCTAGGGCCCCAATACTGTGATGTTAATGGTATTTGGGCCCTAAAACCCTATTATTTGGGTCCTTGAACCCTTAACGTTGCAGTTCTTGGCATCCGGTCCCCATACATCAGACCCCGTATGTCCTTGAGCTAAATAAAGCTCCTGGACTCGGAAGAAAGCTCCCGCAAACTGAAAGAGGACCTAGAAAGGCAGGGTTCCCAGGAACCTTGTTTAGGCCGCGGATCGTGCATATAAACAGACACAAACAACAAACCTATATGCACGCGTATGCATGCGTATACATAGACATACATATATAAATATAAGTGTGCTTTTATTGTACATGTGTATTTATGTTTTATATCACGTTGAGTATAATATACACACATATATGTAAAATACGAACGCTCAATTCCACCGGGTCTCTCAAATGTCAAGTGCCACAACCCCAAACCCTAAACAATTTAGGTTGAACAAGGAACACTTCTCTTCAACAAGTGGTCCTAAACCCTAAAGCCAAATAAACCCTTGACCCTAACCCAAAACACGCAAAACCTAAACCATGCACTCAACACCCGCAACGCTCCATCCCGTACATAAACACTAAAACCCTAGACCTACACCCGCCCTAAATGAAGCCTGAACCCACCGACCTTGAAACCTGAAACCTGCACCCCAAACTTTATTCCTGATCTCTCTGAACCCTAAACCCTAAATCCAAAACCCTTAAACCCTAAACCCTAAATCCAAAAACCTTAAACCCTAAATCCAAAAACCTTACACCCTAAATCCAAAACCCTTAAACCCTAAACCCTAAACCCCTAAACACTAACTCCTAAACCCTAAACCTTGGCCAAGACACCAAGCTCTTAGCCTCGGCGTTCTCCTCATTTCCACGGTGGTTTTAAGTGTTGTTACAAGCCACTTTTACATAGGTTAAAGGGGGGTTGTATAGGGTTTAGGGTTTAGGGTTTAGGGATTAGGGTTTAGGGTTTAGGGTCTAAACTCCTTCAAGGGGGGTTATATAGGGGATTATATGGAGAACTACTATAGGGAATATATTGGGGCTATATAGGGATAATGGAAAAATGGAAACTACTATAATGGGATATATATGGAGTATATGGGTGGTTGTCAAAATTCTGGTCCATTTTTGGGTACCCTAAATATTAGGTGCCGTATTATAATAGGGATCGAAAGAGGGACCATAATTTTGACGACCACCCATATAGCAGTATAACGGGGGTATGAGGGGTGATCTTGAGTTGTATAGGGTTTGAACTTGAGGGTTTACCTACTGGTGTCCAGCTGTTGACTCTGTGAATTTTGGAGCTTCTTGGTTATGGCAGATCTACCCTAAACCCGAAACCTCATGGATGCCAGTCTTTCGGGGGTTTAGGTACTGAGCAAAAACACGAGCATGCAAGAGTCACCCCTTCCTGTCATACTGACCACACCCCAAAAAACTTCCCTACATGCAGCCAGATCAAGGAAAAACGCATAACTCGTTGAGGGGAAAGGCCTTCCCACCACAAGTTGAAGACGTGGGGGTTTGCAGCAGTATGTGGAAATCACATCTTTTTACTCAGAGTTCCTTGTGTAAACATGATTTACTTTTAAATGTACATCTAACCCCTTATAACTCTTTTAGCCACAGTAGGGCTGGGACCTCCAAGTTAAGCAACTGTCAGCAGACTGCAGGCTGCACATGCTAACACATTTGAGTGTCCAGCAGTTTAGGGTCCCCTTGGGTTACTGGTTCTTAGTCGGGAAGAAGGGAACATAGTATCCAGGGATTATCTAGGCTTAGGGTTTAGGGTTTAGGGCTTGGGGTTTAGAGTTAGGTTTAGGTTAGGTGAATCCCCCCTATAGTAACATCTCCTTAATATGGAGTTCATAAGGCCTTAATATACCTACAATAGTCCCTTGTGGTGCCCATTACTGGGTGGGGGATTGACCCAAGGTTTAGGGTCTTCTTGCTGAAGTGGTGCAAAACCCAGAGCCAGAACCTGTACTTGCAGATTCCATATGGCTATAAGGCTATAATCATGCTACACTGTTGTAGGTTCTTGGGTTGAGGCTTATACGAAGACTCTCCCCGTACCCTTCATTGGGGACGTATGACCCCTTACAGTGGCTACTTGAGCCGTAATAGAGGGTAGGTGGGGGATCTAGACATACAGTACAATCAACTGGAGTTCTGGGTATCCTCTAGAAACCTGACTTCAAGAGGGACAACCGCTTGCAAATCCTTGTGCTGCTGCCCTGAACGCCCAAACCACCTAAATCCCTTAAACCCCCTGATCAAACCCACACTTGCCAGGTCTCCTGGAAAATGGAGTGGGCCTTGCTTCGGGCATTTTTGCTGCCTGTTGGCTGCACCAGGGCCTCACAAGCGGTTCAATTTGAAAGGGTTTCGGGTTTGCGGTTTATTGGGGTTTCTGGGATTAGGCTAGAGAGTTCGGGGTTTATAGGGGTTAAGGATCGGGGGTTATTATTGCTTCTGGAATTTCAGGTTTGTTCTGTGGAAGCCCAACGCTGTTCCCTGATAACCCCCTTGCAGCTAGCTATAGTGCAATATACCCCAAGAACCTAGCGTACTCACCTCTTCAAATTTATTGGGTACCTAAATGAAGCCTTCCAACCCTAAACGCGACCGCTAAACCCCAAACACATTTCGGGCCAGTTAGAGCTTAAGATCTTCCATGGAACCCCGACTACCCTTATGCAAGGTTCTTGCAGGTCCTATCTGACGCTACTTGGGCTCTCGCTACCCTCCCAATAGTGAATGTTCATCATAATTACCCCAGATCCCTGGAAGGATCTAGAATGAGATCCCCCTTCGGGCTTCCTAGAACTTGAGGTTGCCCAATAGTAGAACAGGGTACCATATTGGACTTTCTAGATCCTCCCAGGGGTCTGGGACAGTTGCGCATTTAGGATTTCGGGTTTAGGATAGCAAGGTTGTAGGAGGTCTGTCTGCAGGCCTCGGGTTCGGGACCAGGATTTTGCATGCTGGATGAGCAGCTTAGGACCAAAGATTTGTAAGCCCGCTAGGATTTGTAGTACCTACAAGTCTAGAATTTAGGACTAGGGGGGCTTAGGGTTCTCGAAGCCCCGCAGACCCTGCCTTGTTCAGGAACCTTTCCCTTGCCAGTGATGTTTTTGGTGTTGTTCTACGGCCCTGAACCCCAGACCCCAAAATCCTAAACCCCTAAACCCCAGACGCCCAAGCGCTAAACCCCAAATCCCTGTTTTTGCTGCAGGCTTGTCCGTCCGCCCAAAAGGCCTTGTATACACCCTATATAACCAGGTACCCATGTTACCCCAATAAGCTACAAGGGTCCCCATTAAGCCTCCAGAAGCCCTAGATAAACCCCTGAACCCTAATTGCGTGTGCATGATGCGGGCTGGCGGCTTGGTTGTCAGGCATGTGTCATAATCAGCCCCTGCCGATTGTATAAGCTCCCCAAGTACCTCAC